GTCAAGCCAAAACAGGATAGTTTACCGTCCATCCTTAGAATTGATTGACATTAGAAGAAATCGAGCAAATTGAAGAACTCGGAGGTGCAGCTGAGCCCGGGCCATGAAATAATGCTGTAACTGGACGAGCGAGAGGGAGGGAGGGAGGGAGAGGTTTATATGTGTATCATGTGAAGCTTTAAATCAAAGTATAACAACTTGTCGATTCAATTTAAATGCAGCCTTTCACTTGCAAAGATCGAGGCAAACAATAAACTCACACAAATTGCTGCTTGTTAGAGGGCAGGAGGTGTTTATCTGTATGTATCGCATAAAGCTTTAAATCTAAGTTTAATAACTGTCCCATGCAAAGATTGTGGCAAACAATAGACTCGCACAAATTGCTGCTTGTAAATAAGTTCGTTTCATATTTCTTCCATGTTTTATTTGACGAATTACCAAAAGTATATCCAAATTGTGAACAGGTGCAGGTTCATCAGCCTTGCGTCCATTGCCTGAGACGAATTTGCCCCAATCAGTGTCTTTCTGCTTTAACCAACATGCCACGCCCACTGAATGCCGAAGAGGGAGAACCCAGTACAGAGGTTCCACATGGTATGTGTGCATCTCTAAATTTGCCATAAGTTGAAGCTCGTGCAGGACGCTTGATTTGTCTCCTAATCTTTTATTAAGAATAGGGATATCGGCAGGATGCTCAGATTTCTAATAGTCATAGAGAAACAGAAAATAGTCAGGAATTAATAGGAAAAGAGGAGTTTTAAGAGTCGGTCATTGATAATCACTAGATCTTTGAAAATGAAAAGACAAGTGTTTTGAAGTGTGGCATTCAAATCTTGAAAAGCCATGGCTCTCCCTATCCCCCCCTCTGATTTCCTACATGAGCATTGGCTTATATATAATTAAATTATTTATCAAAGATAATTCCTATGACTTTTAATTTTAAATTAGTTTTTTTTCCAATGGAGAGCTCATGATATGGGGTTGCTAATATTTCACTATTGTGACATGAATGCCTACATAACATATTAATTATCGTATGGAATGTTGTGTATAATATTTTTGTTAGAAAAAGTGAATACAAAGTTACAATTTATTTATTTCTGTGAGTGTAACATATCTATAAAATATATCTAAGAAGTACCTAATAGTGAATTTTCACTTATACTTGAGTTTAGGTGCGAGAACGCATGTTGCACTGGCTAAGAGTCAACCAGGTACCCATAGGCTTGCCGACACAAATATGACATCTCTCAAAAGAAAGCTGGAAGAACTCATCAGTAGTCGCCGAGTGGACATGAACAAGCTAAAGTCGAAGTGGAGGAGGATAGAAGAAGAATATTGGAGTGTAGCGCAGGCAATCAGAGAAGGAATATATTTTCCTCCGGAGAAAGTAGCAGAGGTGGAAGAGTTGAGCAAAGAAGTTGAAGAGATTCTTCTAGTTCCAGGAAGATTTCGGCAAGAGGCGACGGCACTTGTTAGATACAGCAAAACATCTCCCTCGGTGACAATAGAATTAGTAGGCAAAGAAACTCGACGGAAGGTGAATAGGATTTTTTATTATTTAATGCAGGACAACGTTTCCATAATTGGTGTTTATGGTATGGGTGGAGTGGGCAAGACGGCCATTTTGAGGCATGTCTATAACAGACTCCTTGAGGATCTTGCCTTGTATGTGTTCTGGGTTGCTATACCTCAGCATTTTAGTGTGTATGCGCTACAAGAAGAGATCGCCAATGCAGTCGGACTAGACAATCTCTCAAATGAGAAGGACGTGAAGAGAAGGGCGGGCCTATTGTATGGACATCTGAATGTGAAGAATAGACCCATCCCTAATTTTAGATGGCCTTTGGATGTATTTTGAAGCTAAGGATGTGGGAATTCCGGTTGAAACAGGCAGACTAAAGTTGGTAGTGACAACTCGATCACTAGATGTGTGTTGGATGATGCACTGTCAAAAGCAAATCAAGATAGAACTTCTTGATATGGAAGACTCTTGGAGGTTATTTTCAAAGACGCTTTGCTTTGCAGAGAACTCCTTCGGGAAGTGGAACAAATTGCAAGATCTCTTCTTGATAGGTATTATGGTTTGCCACTTGGGATCATTGAGATTGCAACTCGCTTGAGAGGAGTAGAGAAAGTGCATGAATGGAGAGGCATGTTGGGAAAATTAGAAGACTCCAGGATGGAGCTTGACGTGTACAAGAGACTGCAACTCAGTTACTTGAACTTGGGTAAAGCTCAAGTGCAATAGTGTTTCCTGCATTTAATACTTTGTTTTGGAGAAGTCCTTTCAGAAACTAATAGAGAGGATTTGATATAGTCTTTCATAGATGAGGGTTTGTTAGGTGAGATTGCCACCAGGCAAGGATTGCACGATCGGGGTAACACCATATTGGATAAAATAAGAGGGCCTGCCTGTTGGATCTAGAAAAAGAGTATCAGTATCTACACCTGTTGACAAGGGACATGGCATTTGATATAGTGACGAGCACAACTCATATGGTTAAGGCCTGTATGGGGTTGAAAGAAATACCGGAGGAAGTATTATGGACTGTTCGTCTAGAGAAAGTCTTTTTACGAGGCAACAAAATAGAAGAAATCCCATACGACATATCACCAAATTGCCCTAAACTGACAAAGGCTGTCTCTGAATGACAATGTCATGTTGGGAGTCATCCACGAATCTTTCTTCAGACATCTAAAGGGGCTGACGGTTCTAGATCTCAGCAACACTAGAATCACGGAATTACCGAAATCCATCTCTCAGTTGGATAGCTTGGAAGTACTGTTACTGCGAAGTTGTTGGGCATTACGTTTTATTCCTTATGTAGGAAAGTTGGGATCCCCAAGAAAGTTGGATCTCCAAGGGTGTGCAAGTCTTGAAGAAGTGCCAGAGGGCATGGAGATGTTGGTAAACCTGAGATACCTCGCCTTAGATGGCACAAAGATTGAGACATTATCAGAGGGAGTGTTGGGGAAGCTGGTGAACTTGCAATATCTTGCGATTAAAAAGCTGAGAGCAGGAGAAGAGGTAAAACTAACGGAAGTAGAGGCACTTTATTGTTCTGTTGCTGATGTGGAAATGTTCAATGCATGCGTGGGGTCTCTCGAGCGAAATAGTTGCCGATGGTACAGGCTCGCGATGGGTGCACCGGACGGTTTCCGCCTTTGGGGTATGAATGAGACTGAGAGGAGTATACTCATCGATAGTTGCGACCATATCGTTGCGAGTGTAGACCGAACAAGTGGTGATGGCTGCGCTCTGCTTCCAGAAAGTGTGCAATCATTGGAATTGTATAGGTGTCATAAAATGAAGAGAGTGATGGAATGGGAGTGGCTGACCACTCTCCTTCCAAGTCTGGAGTAGATTATAATATATAGTTGTGAGAAATTAGAGGAAATAATACGTGGACCATTGCCAAGAGGAGCCACTTGTCGCCTTACATATCTTGAAGTAAATGGATGCAACAACATGAAGAGGGTGCTGCTGAGGCAAGACATGTTGCTCCACCTCCCTTTCCTGCAAGAGATATCAGTCAAAGACTGCAAGGGCATAGAGGTGATAATAGGTACTGTTGCCAAGATGAGACACTGTTCCTTCCCAAAGTTAACGAATCTGGGTTTATGGAATCTTCCGGAACTGAAGAGCATATGTGATGGGAACATGAGTTGTGATTCCCTCGAGTGTATTTCTATAGACAATTGTCCAAAACTGAAGAGGATTCCTCTGCAGCTGCCCCTGCTTGACAGTGGTCTCCCTTCTCCTTCCCCTTCTCTTCGAGAGATTCGGATAAATCGGCAAACGTGGGAGTCACTGGAGTGGGATGATCCCCTTGCCCGTTCTTCACTTGAGCACTTTGTCAAGTTTCTTGGTAAGTCACCCACAAATTTTACTACTTCTTTTATCCTTTCCATCTCCCTTGGTCCCTTCTAAGGATTGATTGTCCCGCGATATGGGAAGTTCATTTTTTTCCTAACTTTTATAGCGAGTGTTATACCACAAAACTGTGCTACGCACTGATAAATGAATTCTATTACAGCTTGAAAGTGTAGCATAATGGTCATGTTATTATTAAACGATAGTTGTTTCGGCGATGTTCAAAAATAAAAAATAAAAAAATACTCCCTTAACTTTGAATGAATAACAACGGCAATAGTCCTTGCTCTTTCTTTTTTTGGCCAAGGCACTCTTTGTACATTTAAAAGATGTTTCTCACACAGATTTTACAAAAAAAGCTATTCTGAGTATACAAAATTTTTGCATATGCTGGTATACAAATCCCTCTATTACAAGTGATCAGTTTTGTGGTCACAAAATGATCACGACATAGAGATAACAAATGATTAAGGGCTGCAGAATTCTTATACAAAAAATTTGAAATAGATCGTAACACCCTTGTTGGAAAGATGCTAAAGCCTAGTAAAAGTAAAATTTGATTAGGAAGTTCTACTTTATTAGTTGGGATAGTTTAAGAGAGCATGTTAAATGCTTTTTACCTTTTCTTTTTGTTGCCTTTTCTGTTTTACCTCATTCAGTATTTCTATTTTTTGTTGCCTTTTCTCAACTGCCAGTGACCAACAAAAATTAATATTTCTGCCCCCAGACTGATGAAGCCGTAGAGGATCCCGTTGAGGATGAATCGTCTTCTGACGGCAGTGGACATCAAACTCGTCACCATTGCTGCATCATCTTGCTCGATCGATGTTTTAAGTACCTCTGAACCTTGTGATGACAAATGCTTAATTGTATGCCTTCTTTTCCAATCTATGATAACTATGTCTTGTTTATTGACTTCTCGGTTTGTATTATCCCTTATTTCTACCTCGTTAAACATTTCTCTTTCTATTTCTCTCGCCCATACTTGAATGAATCGTGTAAAGGATAGATCTGGATATGAATTAGATGATCTACTTAGAGCAAGTATAATCTACTGTGGGAGGTGCTCTTGGTTTGGATCAGACTAGTGGCTATTTCACTCGACACAGCGCATGATGCTAGCTTAAATGGCATCCGCAATGTTGACTGTCTTAGAAATTATCTGAGCAGCCAACTTGTAACTAATGCACTTGAGAAGGTTGTCGTGCAGAAACCCATTCTGATTAGAGCAGAGCTCCAAATATCTTGTCCTCTGGTACTCAGAAAGGTCAGAGTCAATACCTGTGCCATTTTCGACCAAGATCTATAACTAAATTTAGGACCGTATCATCTGAGAAGTTGCAGAAATAGTTAAACGGAACTAAATGTAGATTATGTACTTTCAGGTGTAAATTCCGCATAGATGACCGGTCATAAGCTTTATGTATGGACTATTCTCATAAAGCTTAAGACGGAGACAGCACAACTAGCAACTGGCATGTTCCTAAGACATAAAATTACGTTTCTGGCATTTTCTTGGTTAATGATTTTCGCAGCTTTCAACATGCCACTATGATTGAAGATTCCAAAGATAATCCGCTGCGTGCTTTAATGGGATTCGACAGCTGTGTTCACTACTGTGGGAATTCGCAAAGATTACTGAATGAAAAGGAGGGTTGCGATTTCGCAGAGTCACCAATTACCCCATCTCAAATTGCGAATAATGTCGAGCTGAACAACAGAGCTCATGCTGAAAAACTGAAATTGAGAAATCCGGGTAAGGTAATGAAATGAAAATTCCATGGCCGAATTTAACATCGAGCACCTCGATTGGTGTCCAAGGGAGAGACTCAGTTTGTGTTAGTCACTCAAACTCACCAACAACGGCAGCTCACCAAGTGCGCACTTATGTATGCATCCTAACTTTGATCCAATCGAAGGAAACATGCTTGAGCAGTCTTAGACTCGTCAACCAGGTCAAGTCGAAACTGCATGAGAACAACTTCATGGACTCGAGGGCCATCGCGTTGTGTTGGTAAATTCATGGGGAGATTGTGGGTGGGTCGCGATTCTCCATGTCTTTCTCATCCCACAACACGTCACAGAATGCTGTATAGCGGATGCTTTTAAGGCAGTTAAGGCTGCTTTAAGCACTTCGATTGGTGTCTGAGGGAGAGACTCTGTTTGTGTTAGTCACTCAAAACTCTTCAACAACCGGTAACTCACCAAGAGGGCACTTATGGTGTGCATCCTAACCCCAATCCAGCCGAAGGAAACGTGCTTGAGCAGTCTCAGACTCGTCAATCAGGTCAAGTTGAAACTGCACGAGAACTACTTCATGGACTCGAGAGCCATCACGTTGTGTTGGTAAGTTCATGGGGAGATCGAATGCAGGTGGGTCGCGGTTCTCCTTGTCTTTCTCGTCCCACAACATGTCAGAGAATGTTGTACAGATGATGCTTTTAAGGTAGTTAAGGCTACTAGAAGTACCTGGATTAGTATCCGAGGGAGAGACTCGGTTTGTGTTAGTCACTCAAACTCTCCAACAACTGGCAACTCACCAAGAGGGACTTATGGTGTGCATCCTAACTCCAATCCAACCGAAGGAAACGTGCTTGAGCAGTCTGAGACTCGTCAACTAGGTCAAGTCGAAACTGCATGAGAACAACTTCAAGGACTCGAATGCCGTCGCGTTGTGTTGGTAAGTTCGTGGAAAGATTGAATCCGGGTGGGTCGCGGTTCTCCATGTCTTTCTCGTCCCACAACACGTTGCAGAAGTCCAGTTCCAGGGCTTCGACTTCACATGTAAACTGCGAATGTAATGCAGCACTGCACGTCTTCTTCGAAGTTGCGAGCTTCGGGAAATAGAGTCTGAATTTCTGTAAAATGGGTTCGGTGTAGTCATCGAGCCACGACCGGAAAAAGTCGACAAAACCGAGTCTTTGGGTTTGTTTAGTGCTGCATTGTCTTGTACGAAGAATCGCTCATCAAACTCGCCGTGTGTTGTCGAACGCCACATCCGACCTCAATAGCGGGATAGCACGCTCATTCTCGTAGCATTTTTGAACGGCAGAAACGAAATAATGAGTATGAGAGGATCGATAAACTCAAATAACACGTCCATGGTGATCTGAGATTATCTTCAACTACTGCAAGAGGAGTGAGAGGCTTTTGTGTACTTCTTTCCACTTGTTCATTTTCTATCTTGCCGGTTACCATAAGTTCAAAAAAAAATGAAAAGCCACGAGAAGTCGCAAAAGTCTGATGATGGTTGTTTGCGTCGTTACATCGTGCCTCTTCGACGATAAGGGGAATAAAACTAACTACGATTGAAAATAAGTACAATGTCGGTCCACAAAGAGAGGAAAGCAACAGCAATTTCAGATCAAGAAAAAGGAAAAAAAAAAGGAATAATTTAGAATGAAGAGACCCGTCAGTTTGCGGGTTAAGTCCTTTGAATCGACGGAAAAACATAATATATCATCGTGACCCAAATTATTACGCACTTGTGCATCGCACTCAATGTTCCAAAAAGTTTTACCGTGCATGGTTAAAACATTAGAGATGATAGATCATGGGAAGAATGTGCATCCCACAAGATAGTTAAAGGAAAATTTACAACAATATAGTGATAGTAGCAATAAATACATATAAGTATTATATAAGATTGACAAGTTCAGGTAGGGAAAAATTTCGAAAGGAAAAATCAAGGTTGGGAATGCAACAAAATGGCTCTTGCATTTTGCACACTTTTAACATAGTTTTCTATGCACTTACACAAAATATAGTACAAACGTAATGCAAAATATGTACGCCTAATGTATTTAGATATAACAGGAATATGTATATGTCTCAATGCATTATTCTTGGATGTCTCCGAAGATACAAACAGAAAAAAAAAAAAACCAAAATCAAACAAATAAAACACAACAAACCCGCATGGAAACCGATAATAGTCTAGTAGTCTTATTGATCAATCGCCACTTACAAAACTTAATTCACGCTAAATGATCATTACATGAACATTTGGTGACGCTCTAGGGAAGCTCATAAAAAACACAGCCCTTTGTAAGTAAATTGAACGATCACCACCCTCATTGGAGAGATACAGTTTGAGTTCTTGCATGACACGCCCATAATACAGCAAATAACTCAACAGATTATTTTCATTGACCGTCCCTTGAAAACCCTTCACTTCCACCACCTTCAATGTCCGAAGCACGCACTTGTAAAGCCTATCTATGTGACCGGACCAAAATCTGCTTGGATCGAATATGAACGGCGGTTGATAATCCTGAAGAAAGTTGATAAAACGTCAAATATTTATGTTGATATCTCATGTTACGAGTTTGAAAGTTTTTTACAATCACATGTTGTCAAATCATGATAGTTTATCGGAAGGGAAAAAGGATCATGAATCACTCCTACATAAATTAACCATTACGTATGGAAAGAAATATAATGCAAGATCTAATGTGCCAACACAAATAACTCATATAAGGCTTGTTTTCTTTAAATGAAATATGCAAGGTTAATGTGTGCACTTACAGGGAAAATTCTTGGAGGGCTCATTTGAAGGGTTAGGGTTTCGAGAAAAGGACAACTCTTGAGGAAGAAAGCAATGCCCCAAAACTCATCTTGGTGCATTGCAGCGTTCAAAATAAGATGTCGCACATTAAGAGGTGATTGCATTCTCAAGGGCTCCATCCCAGTTGGAACAACCTGATAAACATGATCATATCGTTATTACACGAACATGTCTTGCAATAATAAAAAATTGTTTGTAACAGATAAGAAATTAAAAAATGGGAACTATTAAAAGAGGACAATATTCAAATTGTACTTAGAAAAGTGTGTGAATGCGATTACAAAACTGACTGTGATTTTTCGGTCAAGATAAGTTCCCCGATGTTTTATTCACAGGAAAACAGTGCACGGAAAAAACAAAGATAAACAAAGGTACGCATACCTGAAGCATGAAACTACAAACTTTCAAAACCCTAGCGCAGTCCAAGGATGATAAAAGTCTCTGAAGAAGATCGCCACCAGATTCATCGAACTCCGACTCGGATCCAAAGTCAAGTTCAGCCTCTTCCAATTGCCTTGTCAAAATCAAATCAAAGATCCCTACAGACCCTGAATACTTGAAAAACCTCAAGTTCGGTGCCTCGATCCCAAACCACTCTTGATAGAAATTGCAATTATCCACCACCAATGTCTTAAGGGCCACATCCCTCTCGAAAATACTCAGATGCTCGAGGTTCCAACATTTTTTCAGCCTCAAACTCTCCAAGCACGTACAATTCCGCAATAGGTCATTCAGGGTAGACATTCTAACTGCGATCCAACCAAACGAAACATGTTTAAGCAATCTGAGATTCATCAACCAGGCCGGGTTGAAACTGCATGCGAACAGCGTCAACGACTCAAGACCCAGCGTGCCATTTTCATAAACTTGCATGGGGAGACCAAACTCTGGTTCATGATTCTCCATATCGTTCTCGTCCCACGTTGGATCTGAGAAGTCCAGTTCAAGCGCTCCAACATTACGGGAAACGGCAAATGAAATGCACTTTTGCACATCGGCTTCGAACTCGCGAGGCTTTGATATACGGAGCTTGAACCTTCGCAGGACGAGTTCAGTGGTGTATTCATTGAGCCAGTGCCGAACGAAGTTGATGAAATCGAGTCTTTGAACACGTTGAGTTTCAACGGGTACATTGTCCCTAACAAAAAACTGCTCGTCAAACTCAATGTTCGCCGTCAAACGCCATAGGCAATGCCAACGCCGGGATAGTACACTCGTTCTTGCGGCTTCTTTAAAGGGCAAGAAGGAAATGATGGTGACTATTAGAGCGTCCGTCAAATCGGAGAACATGTCCATGACGATTGAGATTTTTTTCTTCAAGTAGCATAAAGATTTATGCACTTGTTCGTTTGCTATCTGTGACATGCATATATGTAAGGAGCGAAGAGGCACAAAGCTAGAATTTTGTTTTTCAAACATGCCTCTTCGCTGAGACAAAGCTAACGTACGAATAACTACTTGGCATTTTTTTCTTTTCAAAAAACAAATTGGAACAACATGATGGTTGGAAAATGTGAGATACTAGCAATACGCAGACCTCCCGACCAAGCATTCCAATTCTTGGAATTTGGCAACCGGGACTAACTTTTGAGCAATGGCCGAAAATAATCCTCTTGCTACGAATACAAATATCAGTTACCAAAAAAACTGTCGATGACTATCTAGTACGAGATAAAAACATTTGGAAGATCAAATTCTAATAAAGTACAGCTTTATCAAATTTTCTCACTAGGTTCCATTCCCTCTGTTTCACATAAATTCATCCTAGTAATCTCTCTTTTGCGTGACAAGGAAATTTACACAATACAAGCCACATAAATGTCTGGGCTTTAATTGATAACTTACCTGCTGTGACCGAATCCGATCCTTTTCAAATAATTCATAATATCGTGGAGGTTCCAGGTCAGTCGCTCAGTTACAGGGTAAGGCTTGTTCGGTGCTTGGGTCCTAATTTTTCAGGGACGTGACTATTTGGACCATGGCTACCCCTTGAAAATAATAGAGATAATGGGATAGTGCCGGATCACAGTAATGTGATAACGAAACTGGATGATATAGAAAAAACAAACATAAACTTTATTAAGTGGCCAAAATTGGTGAGTAAAAACCACTATCAATTTCTTAAATAAAAAGTAGAGGTTTAGAATTCGTTATTTCACTTCAAAAATTGATGTTAAGGAAAATTACCAAAAAAGTCCAAAACATTTTTAGGTTTTGCCAATTGAGTCCATCCGGCTAAATTTGGTCGGAAATTGCTGATGTGGACACCAAATGTGGCATACCCGACGCTAAAGTTGACAATTTTTTAAATATTTTAATAATTTTTTGTATTTGGTATTTTTTTTGTTCCTTTTCTTTACTTTGTTTTTTGTTTTTTGAGTGAAAGCCAACGACCCTCGCCAGTACTAGGCGAGGGATGAGACGCCCGCGCCGGCCAAAGCGACCCTCTATGAAAATTTGGGATTCTTACAATATGCTCCATCGCATAAGTTTCAGTATCTTATAATATTATTTATTTAGGTTATAGTGGGCACAATCTTACTTGACGTAAACTATCTATAGTTATGGCAGGTCCATAAACTCTATTTTTAATTAGTCAAAATAACTCATTTCAGATTTAAGATGGATAAAACAACCTCAGGGCTAGTGTATTGGCATTTTTCTAATTTTTGGTGTATTACTTTTTGTATTAGTGACGAGACACATAGAATATTTGACAAATGTAGCCATTAAAAATACAAGAAATGTAGTGTGAAAACACAATATACATCAAGAATATCAGTTGAAATGGAAAGCGTGTCCAAATGAAACCGAAAACGTGTTAACATATTATTGGATGGTCAAGGACACATGTTGTGCACAGAAGGCACCACATGTTGGCACCAAGAAAGTTGGTGATTTTCGCGATTGTCTATAAATAAGAGAGCCTTCTCTAAGTGTTTTCTGATTTTTCACAAGTTCCATCTCTCATTTTTCACAAAACTAGAAAGATTATTATATAGTAATCAACTTCCCGAACAAAAATTATGTGTGCATTTCGTGCCCTTATTTTCTCAAAAGATGGCCCAAATTAGACTTTATTTCAAATAAGAGCCTAAAGTGGCCATACAAGTTTCAAATAAGAGTCTAACCTCGCCAGCCGACCAAATCTTCTAACTGGTCAAGGGCATTTTGTCCAAAGAATTTTTTTTCTTTCTTTCCATTCTTCCTTTTCCAAAAAATTATTAGTGTCAGATTAACCAAGAGAAAATGTGAGTACGACCAGACTGTTTCATCGTGGACTATTTCACCTAATCTTGAGAATAAAAATCGTCAATATAAAAACCAGAAAATTATTGAGAATAAACCATGAAATACTAAGTAACTTGCATGACATTTCAATTGTCAATCAGTTTCCTCAAATGATAAAATTACTACTAGCATGAGGGAGCCTCATTAACTGAGATGACACAATACAAGCAAGCCATCAAGAAATTACAATCTATTCGTCACACCTCAACTAGGTCGAGGCTATGGATAGCGAGGCAGTGGAGGTTGAGGCTGTGGATGTGGATGCCTTGGTGAAAGTTGAAGCTGCGGATGCCATGGATGCAGTGGAAAAAGCTGAGGTGGTGGAGGTGGCGGAGGTGGTGGGAGGTGGAGAGGCGATTGAGGTATGGGAGGATTAATTCCGAATGCACGCCGTAAGTCATTTCTCATATGCTCAGGAACAGCCGAGCAAATCATGAAACCTAGCTTCGGGTATGCCGTGAGGTGCCTCCGAATTATTCCCACATAGTTTTGTCTATGATGTATTCGGTCAACAATACAAACAGTGTCATATATTTTGATCGAGTTCGACATCGACATAATTCCACGGTGGACTCCTCTCATCCTAGGCATGCTGATTATCAACCTACAAAGAGTACACAAAAAAACACTGATTCCATGAAACAGGTTTTAACACTTCATTTAGGAAAATCATCGAACAGGTAATATGAAATTTAGAATACGAACTCCTGATTCGATCTCTATGGAAACATCATCCTAGACGAGAGACATGACACTCTAAATTGAAATTCTTCATTGCAAGTCAACCTTAGCTTCGCAAGATTTTATTCAAAATTTCACCGGTTGAATTCGGTGCATTAACTCCCGATAAAATAGAGAAGAACAAAGTAACAAAGAAGGAGGCGTACTTGATTCAGACAGGACTCACTAACTTCTCCGTTGGGCCGTGAAAAATTCCGAATACTGGCGCGTTAAACGAAGCACGTGCATTGCGTTTATTGAAATATTCGACACTTGATAAATTATACACTTATTTTTTAGGATAGTGATTGATTGATATCTTGAGCCAACTTTACACATAAGACTAAATTCACATCTCTAATATAATCCGGTCTAACAATAGAAATTTAATCAATTGATATTGGACAAGTCGAGTAAGTTTCACAGGTCCTGCTCGAGAACGAAGAGGAAAAATAGATAAGTGAGAATGCTATTAAAAGTAGAGTAAATCAAAATCGAATTTTTTACTTTCGTGAATAAATAAATATATTGGATAGGAAATAATCAATTGATAAGCAGTAAAACCTCTCTAGCTACATTTCTTGAATAAGTAGTCTCTTCAATATTGAAATGTTTTACAATAAAGCAAGTATTTCCCTTTGTATCCACATTTTGTACATAGCAATGTGCAAATTTATCCATGTATTGAAACATCAACCTCCAATTTGGTGTAAACATTTTCAATGATGCACGGAGCATCTCCTTGAGAAATACGATAGATATCATCCTCCAATAGTAATACGCATTTTGCAAGGATTTATTTTAGTTTTATTTCTTAGTAATGGCATTAATCATCCGAACATTTTTCTCATGGATTTTTATAACGTACATTGACAATGCAAAATTTTCTTTACACCACAGGGCTTGATGTTTTATGGAGTTTTTAATGAATTAAAATCGAGTTTTTTCTTGCCGAGAGGGAAATTGGCGATTCTGGCCAAATTCGAGCGACTCATTGCCTGGCTTCGGACCAGTACGGTCCGGTCGCACCGCTATGGACAACAAAAGCCCTAAGTTAATTCGGCATTAATCAAAAGAGTTTCGGAGTTAGGGCAAAAAATTTGGATCTATATCAATTTTGAATTTTTGGGTTCGATCTAGGGTTTGTTAAGCTATAAAATTTATGGGGAAATGAAATTTTAGGGTGTTGTGGAGCCGTAGTATTCGACGAAAATCAATTTGGAGTTACGGTTTGATCGGAGTGAATTTTCGAAATTGTGGGTGTGTCGTTGGATTAGTTATGAATTTCTGATTTCGATGATGGTTTGGGCACATCTTCGGTCGTCTTTTGAGTTCGAAAAGCTTAGGATTTTCTAATATTTTGAAAGGGCTTTATATTGATTGTAACTTCACTTGAATCGGAGTTCGGTGGAGAAAGTTATAATACGAACAAATTCGAAACTTTCACTTGTACTTGATGTGGCGTAGGGGGCTCGTGAGACCACAACTATCTATTTTTCCTTCTTTACCACATATGATGGAAATGGACAGTGTAAATACGCAATTCCACTGGAAGGAAAATGGGAGAACTACACCAGATCAAAAAATCTCGTTCGACACACATTGTATAATATATGACCCATTAGTTCCACCCATTATTTTGTTAAATAAGCCCAAGCCCAAAAGCGCTTTAAAATTTTGGCCTAAAAAACTTGTATCACATTCGCTTATTCTTCATCAATAACACTTGTGAGGGTAAAAGGAAAATGATACCACTAACGGACAAAATAAAGAAAACATAAGAAATAGCTCACTAGTGAAAAAAGAAAAGAGGGAAAAGAGAGTGGAGAAACAAATCTTCATGGGTAGATGATCCGAAAACTCGAACAAGTTGAATCAACTCCGTTTTACAAAGCCGGCTAAATAATCGAAGCCTCTATTCATCTAATGAAGGAAGTTTTTGGAGTTACGGCAAAAAATTGCAACCTCTATAAATTTTGAATTTTTTTGGTTCAATCTAAGGTTTGTTAAGCTATAATATTTATGGGGAAATGAAAGTTCGAGATTCTGTGGAGTCGTGGTATTTGACGGAAATCGATTTGGAGTTATAGTTCAATCCGAGTGAATTTTTGAAGTTCTACATGCACTATTGGACCAGTTACGAATTTCTGATATCGGTGATGGTTTTTGCCCACCTTTGGCTATCTTTTGAGTTGACGAGACTCGGGCCTTTCTAGTACTTCGAAAGGGTTTTAAATTGACAATAAGTTCACTTGAAACAAAGTTCTATGGAGAAAGTTATAGCG